GGTGCGAGAGCGGGGTGCAGCAGCGGGAAGGCTGTCGAACCTGCGACGACCGTCGTCTCGGTCGGTGCGTCGCGAATCTTGGCGGCGACGATCGTCGTCGTAATGACGAGGGGCTGAGCGACGGGAGCGGTCATCGTACTGATGGTCGGATTCGTCGGCGCGCCTTGCGCCAAAGGAGCGTTCGCTGCGTCTTGCGCCAGATGCGTTGCTGTCGCGACGGGAGCGCGGGAAGGTGGGGTAGTAGGTGGGGCTGGTGGGCTCGGCAACCGGGTCGCGGGGAGGCAAGCCCATGGAGTTGACGATGCTGCGCCTGTCCGGCGGCGGTCGGCGCATGGACGACGGCATCTCGACGATCTAGCGAGCGACGTATCGAAAGGACAGGCACGACCAGGCTAGAAAGGTGGTGACAGGGATAGGCTCCAGATGATGCTCGTCTAGGTAGAAACAAGATCGGGCAAATGGAGAGGAGGGGCTTCCAGAGATGAAGGTGCGGATGGAGGAAGGGAGCGACGAGTTGACGAGGGCCCAAGGCTGTGCTCGAGAGGTGAGCTGGAGAAGGGCGCGGGGTGCAGATGGGCAAGGCGAGGCGAGGCGAGGCGAGGCGAGGCAAAGGCCAGCTCCGCCGATTGGAAGGATGGATGGAATCAGGCGAGCCAGACGTGATGCCGTTGAAAGCGCGTGGATTGATGCAGCAGGCGAGTGCGGAGAGATACAGCGCGCGGCCAAGCCTTGGGTGGGATTTTGACAGGCCAGCCACGGCGGGCGGCGCGGCGCGGCGCGGCACGCGGTGGGGCGGAGGTGCGGAAGAGCGGAGGCAGGAAGAGCGCACGGAGCAAGCAACCGCCGAGCCAGCCGAGACGAGACGGCGCCTTCCAGGCGAGACGAGGCGAGAGCAGCGCGCGACTCGTGCCGTCCGAGCTGTCGACCTGAACACCTTCTGCGTTGGAAGCGGCTGATGGCCAAGACAACAATCAATCACACGTCGGAGCAGGCCGACCATCGGAAGGGCCTTTGGCTTTTGCTCAAGTTGTCGGCTGTCTTTCCCCGCCTCTGGCAGCGCAGCTGGAGCAAACAGACGCATCGAGCCCACACTTGGAAATTCCGACCTGCAGCTCTTACGAATTTAGCATCTCTGGAGGCTCGCCGCGCTGCAGCATTCCGACTGGTCCGCCTCGTGCAGCTAAGTTGGCTGCTG